TAATGAAGTGAAGTATAAGGAGAAGCCCTGGCACATGGTAACTGTTGAATAATCCACAGCTTTCCTCTTAATGCCATCTGCAGTTCTAGTCGCAAATACCTCCATGGCACTGCCACCCAGACCTGTAAAACTATATAAACTTTACAAGGAATTTGTAGAAAATTAAGCAGAATTGTAAAAGGGAATTTAAAGTTGTCAAGCAAAACATCATTTCCTCAAGATGCAAAGGAAAGGCACACCCCCCACCCCACTTCCTTTTCTTTTCTATAAAGTGGCCTCCAAAAGTCTACGAGCAATAAATGCTGGAGAGGGTGTGGAGAAAAGGGAACCCTCTTACACTGTTGGTGGGAATGCACACTAGTACAGCCACTGTGGAGAACAGTGTGGAGATTCCTTAAAAAAACTGGAAACAGAACTGCCATATGACCCAGCAATCCCACTCCTCGGCATACACACCGAGGAAACCAGATCTGAAAGAGACACGTGCACCCCAATGTTCATCGCAGTACTGTTTATAATTGCCAGGACATGGAAGCAACCTAGATGTCCATCAGCAGATAAATGGATAAGGAAGCTATGGTACATATACACCATGGAATATTACTCAGCCATTAAAAAGAATTCATTTGAATCAGTTCTAATGAGATGGATGAAACTGGAGCCCATTATGCGGAGTGAAGTAACCCAGAAAGATAAAGACCAATACAGTATACTAATGCATATATATGGAATTTTAAAAGATGGTAACAATAACCCTATATGCCAAACAGAAAAAGAGACACAGATGTACAGAACAGACTTTTGGACTCTGTGGGAGAAGGCGAGGGTGGGATGTTTCAATGGCATTGAAACATGTATATTATCTAGGGTGAAACAGATCACCAGCCCAGGTAGGATGCATGAGACAAGTGCTCAGGGTTGGTGCACTGGGAAGACCCAGAGGATGGGATGGGGAGAGAGGCGGGAGGGGGGATCGGGATGGGGAACACATGTAAATCCATGGCTGATTCATGTCAATGTATGGCAAAAACCACTACAGTATTGTAAAGTAATTAGCCTCCAACTAATAAAAATAAATGGAAAAAAACTAAGTGGCCTCCTTCCCTTGCCACAGGATTTGCATATGGCTCACCATGGTTGCAGACCCTGAGTTTCCATTCTCTGCTCTCCCCCCCAAAACCTATCTTTGCAGGAGAAATATCTGGCAGTGTATTTGTTTCAGGTCAGCAATGGCATCTGGGACCACCAGCAGGACAGTCCAGGGTAGGCACTGGCAGCCATGTTCAGCCTCCTGCAGAATCTCCCGGCCAAGTGTGCCTCTCTGTGGGACATCTGCTTGTTGTCCCCATAACTGTCAGCACTACCTTGATATCCTTTGGGGGTAGGATTCTTTACCGGCTGAGCCACCAGGGAAGCCCAGGCTCAGGATATAACTCAACATAGCCAATCACAGACAAGGAGAGAAGAGGAGACATTTTCTGGTAATCCTGGTCTCGCTATTTTTGCAGTGGCTTTTTGCTGTCATGATCTTCCTTCTTCACTAGATGTGTATGAGGAAGGGTTTAGCATAGGTGCTGCTAGAGTCATTTTAGAATCAGGAGGGCAGAATCTGGTTAAGAATGGCATCAATACCAGGAACACACACATGCACAGAGAGAGAGAGAGAGAAAGAGAGAGAGGAGTCTTGGGTCCGGATAAAGTTGCACCTGACCTCTTTGGATTGTTTAGTTATGTGAGACAGTCTATTCTTTTTATTGTTTAAGCCATTTTGAGTTATGTTTTCTGTTTCTTTCTACATAGTGACCTAATTGATAGAGTCTGTTTTTTTTTTTAATATTCCAGTAGAGAGTGAAATGGTCAAAATCTCTCTTTCTCTCTCAATACTTTCAGTTGCACTTATTTCAGAGGTGAAATTGAGATAGGAGTTTTATCACATTGCCTAAAAGTTGTGGATCTTGGTTGGTTATATCTTTGGGGCTTCCTTGGTGACTCAGCAGTAAAGAATCCACCTGCCAATGCAAGAGATGCAGGTTGGATCCCTGGGTGGGCAAGATCTCCTGGAGATGGAAATGGCAACCCACTCCAGTATTTTGCCTGGGATATCCCATGGACAGAGGAGCCTGGTGGGCTACAGACCATAGGGTCACAAAGAGTTAGACCTGACTGAAGTGACTGAGCATGCTTGTACTATTAGGTAAGTGGAGTCACCAAAGGAAAGGGGTAGGATAATTATTTTTAAAAAAGGCCTCAAAACTCCCTAATTCAATAAAAACTATAACCCACAAATTCAAGAAGGTCAACAAACTCCATACACAAGGAATATTAAGAAAATCCACTTGCTTACAAAAGGTGATAAGGAGAAAATCTCAAAAGCAGGCAGGCATAGAAGACACATTAAGTACAAAAGCTTGAAGGCATGAAAGACAGCATCTTCTCAATGGAAATAATACATGCCAGAAAGCAATGGAGAAATATCTTTAAAGTTCTAAAAAAAATAAAAATAAAAAAATAAATTCACCCTACAATTCCATATCCAATAAAAATATTTTTTAAAATGTGGACATACAGAAGCTGAGAAAATTCATCATAGCAGATCTGCAGTATAAGAAATGTTAAAGGAAAATCATTTAGAAAGAAGAAAAATGATATCAGATGGCAATCTGGATCGACCAAAAGGATGATTAATAGACTGGTAATTATATGGGTAAATATAAAATACTTCTTCCTTATTGTTCAAGTTTCTTGAAAGATAATGGGCTTTTTAGTGCAAAATTAATAGCAATGTATTGGGGCATTTATAATCTATGAAGAACTAAAATATGTGGCAACAACAGCATAAAGATTGGAAAGGGAAAAGTGGAAGTGTATTACTCTGATTCTTGTACCACATATGGAAAGTGTTAGTTACTTAGTCATGTCTGACTTTACCGTATGTGGAAAGTATTAGTTGCTTAGTCAGGTCAGACATGGGGTCATGTCTGACCCCATGGACTGTAGCCCACCAGGTTCCTCTGTTCATGAAATTCTCCAGGCAAGAATACTGGAATGGGTTGCCATTCCCTTCTCCAGGGAATCTTCCTAACCTAGAGATCGAAATCAGGTCATCTGCATTGCAGGCAGGTTCTGTACAGTCTGAGCCACCAGGGAAGGCCTTTACTATATGTGGAAGTGATGTAATATTTTTTCGAAGGTAGACTGCATTACATTAAAAATATGTAAATCTTAAAGCAACCACTGAAAATAAGCATAAAATGTAATAACTAGCAAGTCAACAAAGTAAATTAGAAGTATCATAAAAAATACTCAAAAATTCCAAAAGAAGGCAAAAAAGGAGAAACAGAAAACAAAGAATAGATGGAACAAACAGAAAACAAATTGCAAGATGGTAGGTTTAAACCCAACTGATCGGTCATCACATTAAATGTAAATAGCGTTAAAGTGAAAGTGTTCATTGCTCATCGTGTCTGACTCTTTGTGACCCTATGGACTGTAACCTGCCAGGCTCCTCCGTCCATAGAATTATCCAGGAAGAATACTGGAGTGGGTAGCCACTCCCTTCTCCAGGGAATCTTCCCAAACCTTGAATCAAACCTGGGTCTCCTGCATTGCAGGCAGATTCTTTACCATCTGAGCCACCAGGTAAGTGGTGTAACTATCACAATTTAAGACAGTGATTGTCAGGTTGGTTAAGATAGCAAGAGTCAACTAGTATGCTGCTTATAAGAACCACTTCAAATATAATGACAAATAGGTTAAAAATAAAAAAAGGATGGGACTTAAGACAGAGGCTTGAGACATACCACCTGAGGCTTGAGCCATGCCACCTTAAGAGAGAGGCTTGAGCCATGCCACCTTAAGACAGAGGCTTGAGCCATGCCACCTTAAGACAGAAGCTTGAGGCTTGATCCATGGCACCTTAAGAGAGAGGCTTGAGCCATGCCACCTTAAGACAGAGGCTTGAGCCATGCCACCTTAAGACAGAGGCTTGAGGCTTGATCCATGGCACCTTAAGAGAGAGGCTTGAGCCATGCCACCTTGATTTCTTGCCACAAATCAAGAATTGTGTTCAGGAGACTTCTGTTAGTATATATGTTCAGCTTCAACCTGTTTTTTCTTTTTTGGGGGGTCGAGTATATTTTATGATACTGTTTTCAGGAATTTCTGTAGGAGAAGCTGCCTGCTTGTTCCACATAAACATGGAGTCACAGTACGTGGCCAATTACTCAGACTAGAGGAAACTCTTTAATGAAAGCCAGGTGTGCAGTCAGCCTGGTGTAACTGAGGTGACATGGCGTCTTTTAGTGAAAACTGAATGTGACAAATATGAGAATGATCCAAAATTAGAAAAAATATCTGAAAAGAGAGAAAACATTCCTGGATTGACATAATAACCACGTGCAAATATAAACTGCCAAAGTATGAAGAAAATATTCTTCTAGGCACAGAGAAATGGCTGCCCCAAGAAACAGAAGCTTTATCTTAAGACAAGGATTAAGATACCTTATAAAGAACATCTATACTTGGATGATGAAATTCAATGTATCTTTGACGGAAGTGGATATTTTAAGGGATAAAGAGGACCGACTGATTCAGATTTGTATGGTGAAAGTGGACATAACATTTCCCAGAGGGACTTATTACCCCCTCACCCTGATGAAAAGAACTATGTAAAGGAAATGAAGCTGTTTGTTGAAGAACCAATATTTTTTTTTTTTTAAGCAATCATCTGTTTTATTATACAACTCTATAAACAGAAGATGAACAGAAATACACAATATACTTACCTGTACATGTGAACCTACTTTTTTAGCTACAGATATTTATTATAGTTCATACTGACTTTAATTTTATAGTTCATAACTATGTATAACCTTATTGCAGTAAGGGCAAATTCTACATGGGGAGATTCACAGGCCAATCACATTAGGCATCACCAGTACATTCAAAACTGTACCTCATATATGGGTGTATCTTCCCTGATCCTGTAAATTCGAGTGTCTTTACAGCTTCAGCTCATTTGCTACTTTAGATGCAATGTTTTTAAAGGCGATGGACGTCCCGGATATTCGCTTGAAGCGGACCCCATTGAGGGACAGTCGTGGCAACTTGCAGACTTCCATTTCCCACTGCACAAGGCTATCCTGCCTGGCATCACCATGGACGCAGAAAAGCAAAAACCTCTCTTTCTGTTCATAATCACAGTTATTTGCATCTAACACTTTGCGGATTTCTCTCATCATGTCATTGGGGTCCATTGAACTAGTGGTCTTCATGCTCCACGTGAACCGCAGAGAACGTGGCTTAGAATCTTTACCCTCCTCCTTTTCTCTTTCTTTTGGTTCCCCTGTTGTACTTCTTGAGGTGTCGGCTCTACCACTGGCTTCGCCTTCACTTGGATCCCTGCGGACGAATTTGGACGTTATTTTGCTTATTATACCAGTGGACGTGCCCCTCCTGGCGTGCGTGAAGGCCCCCGGCTCGTGGGACGGGGAGGCGGGCGGCCCATTGTAGGCGGCGCTGCGGCGCTCGCGGAGCTGCTCCCCGTGGAAGGTGCTGCGGCTGGAGCTGCCGCGGGGGAAGCGGGTGCGGTCGGGGGTCGAGGCGCTAATACTGTGAGTAGACGGCGACGCAGCGGGCACGCGCTGGGTTGTGCCGGGCCTGTAAGTTTCCGAGCTGTCTTTAATGGTCGGCAGTGTGACTTTAATAGGATGGCCGGAAGCAGACATGGACTTCTGGTGCCGGGGTCGTGCTGAGGGCACAGCAGAGGCCACGGCGGAGCCCGCAGAGGACATGCTGCTCGCGGACATCTCTGTAAGGCTGCTGTCTTTTCCGTTCTGCAACGCTGTGTATCGATCTGTGGTTCTTTCACAGACATATGTATTCCTTCTTGCCATGCTACCTCCAGGATACACATTGTTACTTGGAATAGTTGAAGACTTTTTCCTTTCTGGCCCTACAAGAGGGCTTGCAGTCATCTCACTTTTTGATCCAACTGTTGTGCTGCCAAGTTTACGAGCCACATCTTTGTCCCACTCCTCTTTCTGTTCACTTTCCACGCTATTAGCCTGAGGCCTTTTGGTATATGATACAGCAGGAGGAATGGATGGACCAGCATGATCACTAAAGCGTCGCTGCTTCTGGTTTGCTGAGATGCTCCGCTGGACCTTCAGGTGAGCAGGGGACTGTAGGGTGCTGTTGTTTAAGTCACTGCTGGGCCGGGACCTCTGACACAGGTTTCCACTGGATAACGATTCGCCACCTTCAAATTCAGGTGGTTTTCTACCTAGCAGAATATAAGTAGCCATGACTTCATCATATTTCTGATTTATTAAGGCATCATTTATCTCATCTCGTACAAATCCCATGGTGATCATGATATCTATTCTTTTCATGTCATTGAAATCTGGGAAGAACCAATATTACATACAGCTGACTAGCCAAGCAAATTCAAAACCTCAAAACTTGATGTTCGAGGATCTCTTATGAAATTTTTGGCACAAACAGCATAGTGGTACTCTCTAGAAACTAATGAACTCTTTAAAGGTCGTTTATGTGACAATTAAGAATAAATTTGATCAGTTCCTTCTTGCTTATACAATGTAAACTTGAAGCTAGGCTCTTTTTCCTTGGTTATATTATTTGAACAGAATTTTTTAATGAAACAATAAAACTGATTTTACCATGAAATGAAACTGTGATAATGTGGATAAATCACATTTATGAAATTCATTATGATTCATTTTCTCTAAATCAAGGATTGTATTCAATAGACTTCTATTAATATATACCTTCAACTTCAACCTGCAGGAAGGCTGAATCTCCCAAAATATAAATTATTCAGCATATTTTACCTGAACATTATTCTTAAGCTTTAAGTCAGATATCAGTCAACGCCATCCTTTCCCTATAAAGAATAATGATAGAGAGAACAAGATGATGGAGGAGTAGGTGGACATGGAGTACTTCTCTCTCCACGGATACATCAGGAATACACCTTCAGACACAGAAGTGCATGCAGAACACCAGCCTAGAGTGGACAGGAATACCTGACCAATGGAAAAGTATATACAGAACCATGCAAAACTCGGTCGGATGACGGAACTAGAGTGAAAAACAGGAGTGTTAGTAGGACTGGACCTGCCCTTGGAAGGTGGGGGGACCGAAGCAGGGGTCCAGTCCCCACACTGGGGCAATTGTTTGAGTCAGAGGAGAAACATTTAAGGCTGAGGGTGAAACAGCTGATCTGTGGCAGTCTAAATGGAATGAGAATCAGACAGTCCTTGTCGCAACTTTACATACCCTGGACAGGGATGCAGGTCCCCTAGAAGGCACAGCGGCTGGGAGTTTAGGGATTGTAGAGAAGTCCCAGGGTGAGGGCTGCTGTTGACTGTGGAGAGACGGACCGAGGGGATGTGAGGGAGGAGGCTGTGGTGGGAAACGCCTGTGGAGGAAAGCCAGGTAGCCGTGAAAGGAAGGCAATACTGCTGAGTCACGCATAGGGGGTGGAGCCATCACTATAGCCTCTCTCTGCCCACATGCCGGCATTGGCAGCTGAACAGTAGAGAGGCTGCCCCATCAAACGCCTGAGGCACTGAACTGCAGAGTAGGACCCCAGCCAGGGGAGCCCCTCTATGTGCCTGACTCACCAAACAGAGAAGGGCCTGGGCAAGGGAGCCCTCTAAGCGCCTGAATGGGCGCAGATTTGGAGACAGACTGGCCAAAGAGGCCTTCTGATGGCCAGCAACAAGAGGCTCGAAAAAAGACTCTGATAGGGCCAGGATTCCTGCAGTGGAGGCAGTCTGTGTCCCTGCACACTTGACCCCGCCAGGGTCCCCACAAGCCAAGCAGCTGCACAACCTTCATGCTCAACCCTCACTGGGGCAGAGCTGCCACAGGCAAAGAAGTCTTGTGTCTGTGCGCGCAGGGTCACTTTGGTCATGTCCAACGCTTTGCCAGCCTGTGGACTATGGCCTGCCAGGCTTCTCTGTCAGGGGGGTTCTCCAGGCAAGAATACTAGAGTGTATTGGCCAATACTGGTTGCCACACCCTTCTAGAGGACTATATTTCCTGCTGCCCTAGCCACCAACTCCCCTGAGTACCTGGTGCTGCTAAAACCACTGTGATCCAAGCAGCTGCACCACCTCCATACCTGGCCCTCACAGGGGCAGACCGAAGTCCTCCAGGGCAGCCTCAGGAGCAAATCCCAGTGGACGACCCACAAGTAGAGGTTGAAGTAAACCCAGGGGCAGTGTGGCTAAGGAAGAAGACCCAAAACCTTCCCACCAGCTGTACAAGCTGAAGATTAAATCCACATGATCAACTAGTCAGACTCTGCATCTGTGGAATATATAAAAGGACAGTGAAAACTCCCACAACAGAAAACGCACTAGGTCTGATAGCTGTGGACATTCGAGGCAAGAATACACAAGAGTAGGACCAGATCAGAATCTGAGCTGCCCCCACAGCAGGTCCAGAGACCAGCACAGTGTTGGAGGGCATCCTAAGGAGATGAGGTGAACTATGACTCCCACTGACAGAAAGACTCTGACAGAAATGACTGAAGAAAAACATTTATTATTCTTATGTTTTGACTTGTTCTGTAGATTCTTTTGGATTTTTTTCCCCTTTTTTTACCCCTTTATTGTAGTTGTCAATTTTATTGGCACTATGAAATCTAATTAAGCTTTTGAACTTTTATTTTCTCAGTCACATTTTTTATTATTGTTATAAACCTCTGCCTCTACATTGGGCTTTTGCAGTTCTGTGGAGTTTTCTTTTTTTTTAATTTTTCTTCCTTTTTTTTCTTTTTATAATTTTAATTTTTTAAAACCTACTATTATTTTTTCCACATTTATTCCTTTGTTTGCTTTTCCTACTGTTCTTTCCCCCTTGCAGTTAATCTTTAATGTATATAAATCTTCTTTATCTACCTCTATTTAACTTTGCTTATCTATTCTTTCTTTCTTTCCTTTCCTCTTAACATAATTGTTAGCTTTTTCTTCGTTGCTTTATTCCCCACTTGGCACCTTGCTTTAGTTTTGTTTTCCAGTTTGTGCTTTAGTTAGTTTTGTTTTTAACTGGTAGATATAATTTTTTAATTCCTTTGCTCACTGGATCAATCTACTGTACTTTATTTTTGTTGGACTGTTTTGATTTTGCTTATGGGAGTATATGTATATGTGTATATTCCATTATTTTAATTATTATTTGCCTGGTTTTGTAACTGCCATTTGTGTGGGGTTCATCTTTGGTTTTTTGGTTTTGGGTATTTGTTTTAATCTCACTGAATGCCAAAACAAACCACTTATGGAGCCTTTGTTCCTGACCAGAGATCAAGCCCTGAACCTTTGGAGTGGGAACACTGACTCCAAGACCCTAGACTACCAAAAAACTAACCCTAGGGAGTATCAGGCAGTGAGAACTCACACAAAGGAATCCACTTGAATACAAGACCTGGTATCACCCAACCACCAATAGCATCCTGTGCAGGATGCCTCATCTAAACAACAAACAAAACAAAAATACAAACCCAATCATCAACAGACAGGATTACCACCTCACTCAGGCTTGCCCATCAGAGGAAAAACAACCAAACAAAACTCAGCATAAATCTCACCCTATATGAAGCTTAAACAAATCACTGGACCAACCTTAGGAGGGCAGAAACCAAAAGGAAGAAAGAATTCAACCTTGAAGCCTGGGAAAAGGAGACCTCAAGCACAATAAGTTAAAAAAAATAATGAAAAGGCAGAGAAATACTACACAAGTGAAGGGACAAACTAGAAACACAGAAGTTCAAACAAATGAAGAGGAAATAGGCAAACTACCTGAAAAAGAATTCAGATAATGATAGTAAAGATGATCAAAACCTTTGAAAACAGAATGTAGACAATGCAAGAATCAATTAACAAAGACCTAGAAGAATTAAAGAATAAACATACAGAGACAAATAGCACAAGTACTGAAATTAAAAATACTCTAGAAAGAATCAATAGCAGAATATCTAAACAGAAGAACGAATCAATGAGCTGGAAGATAAAATGGTGGAAATAACTTCTGAAGAGCAGAATAAAGTAAAAAGAATGAAAAGAACTGAGGATAGTCTCAGAGACCTCTGGGACAATATCAAATGTACCATCATTTGAATTATAGGAGTCCCAGAAGAAGAAGAGAAAAAGAAAGGGTATGAGAAGATTTTTGAAGAGATAATAGTTGAAAATTTCCCCAACATAGAAAAGGAAATAGTCAATCAAGTCCAAGAGGCACAAAGAGTCCCATACAGGATACACCCAAGGAGAAACCTGCCAAGACACATACTAATCAAACTAACAAAGACTAAACACAATGAAAGAATATTAAAAGCAGCAAGGGAAATGCAACAAGTAACATACAAGGGAAACTCCATACGCTTAACAGCTGATCTTTCAGCAGAAACTCTGAAGGCTAGAAGGGAATGGCAGGACATACTTAAAGTACTGAAAGGGAAAAATCTACAACAAAGATTACTATACCCTGCAAGGATCTCATTCAAAACTGATGGAGAAATAAAAAGCCTTTCAGACAAGAAAAAGTTAGGAGAATTCAGTACCACCAAACCAGCTTTACAACAAATGTTAAAGGGACTTATATAGTCAAGAAATTCAAAAGAAGAAAAAGATCTACAAAATCAACACCAAGTGATTAAGAAATTGGCAATAGGAACACATATATCAATAATTACTTTAAATGTAAATGGATTAAATGCTCCAACTGAAAGACAGACTGACTGAATGGAGACAAAAACAAGACCAATATGTATGCTGTCTACAAGAAACCCACTTCAGATCTTAAGACACATATAGACTGAAAGTGAGAGAATGGAAAAATATATTCCATGCAAATGGGAAGCAAAAGA